GATGCCCCCCAAGATGCCATTGGCCTTCTTGGCTACAAGGGCCCATTGCTGGCTCATGGGCATCCTGTTGTCCACCAGAACTCTCAGGTCTTTCTCCTCAGAGCTGCTCTCCAGCAGGTCACCCCCAACCTGTGCTGGTGCAGGGGGTTATTCCTCCCCAGGTGCAAGACCCTACACTTGCCCTTGTTGAAGTTCATCAGGTTCCTCTCTGCCCAACTCTCCAGCCTGTCCAGGTCTCACTGGATGGTGGCACAGCCTCTGGTGTGTCAGCCACCCCTTTCCAGTTTTATATCATCTGCAAAAGTGCTGAGGCAACATTCCATCCCTTCATCCATGTCATTGATGACTATATCGAAGAGGACTGGACCCAGTACTGACCCCTGAGGAACACCACTTATTACGGACCACCAACTGGATCAACTCATGATCTCCATTCCTTGGGTACCTCGAGCTGCAAGAGGCCAAATATAACAACACGCCATAGCTCAAAATGCAGTTATTCCCAGGAAATTTTGCCTTGTGGATTGTCACAGTGCCCTAAAGCCATTTCTCCTTGTTCTTGGTGGAAAAAGGCGATGATAATTTGCCTTTTCTGCCTGGGGAGGGTGTGTGGTGTTACTCAAAGCTTCTCCTGGGTGCCTCTGGAGTGGGTGGCACTGCTGTGGGAGGGGAGAGCCCTGCCTTTTTAAAGCCATTTGGGATTTATTTTTTTTTTCCAGATGAAGAGCACGTTTAAAACACTCCCCAACCTGAGGTGACTTAGCTCTTACACCCGATACCTGCATATTTCAGAGCCCTCGTAAGCTGCTCAGGTTCCTCTCCTCTTCCCGGCTAAATTTTAAAGTAAAGCCAAGAAGTAAAAGGAAAAAAAAAAAAAAAACCCAACACAACAAAACACCAAACCCACTGTGGGTCTGGGGAAAACTAGTAATTAAGCAGCGTTTTGTCAGCACTTTTGGTTGTGATCCCATCTTAATGTGGTCGTCTCATTTGAATGTAAATGTCAAATTCCAGAGCTCCTGGAGGAAAGCGATTGGGTGACATCCCGCTGGACGCCAGGGGAGTAAAGTGCAAGCTCAGGGGTTTCGGTTTAACGTTCCGCACTGCTCTTTCCTGGTTCTTCTCCTAGGTCTGAAAGGAGTTGAGTTGATAAATTTAAGAAAAGAACCTTTTTAGCATCGAGGAGCAGCATCAAACTGCAGCTGGCCTCAGCATGATGCGGAACGGCCCGGATGGCCACTGTCTTGGGGAGGCCGATGGCTCCTCTCACTCAAATGTGAGGTCGGTGGTGCTTCTCGCCCCCCCAAAAATGATTTTTTTATTATTTTTTCTTTTTCCCCTGCCTGGAATGGGGCTGTTTGGGGGGGGGGCTCGAGCTGGGCCCAAGCATTAGTATTTTGGAAACACAGAAGAGACTCGGCGCCGCTGAAAGATTTAGCCCAATACTCCGGGATAGGAGACTCGGCGCCGCCGAAAGATTTACCCAAATAGTCCAGGATGCGTGTCCCGTTCCGCCAGGTTTATAAATGAGGTTTGTAAATAAATCCCAGAGCTCTGTGGGGTTGTAAACCCTCTCTTTCAAACGGGCCGTATTTTAAGTGGAGGGTGCTCCCCTCCCCTGTGACAGGTTCTATGGGAGGACGATTCCCTAATTTCTCGAACGCTGCCACTTTTGGGGTGAAATGTGGCGTTTTTTGCAGCCCTGCCGAGCCGCGCAGTCTGGCTCAACAAGGGGATGATGCCTTTTGTGCAGCTGGGGGGTACGGAGAGAGAAAAGAGCTGCCTGGGAAATTTAGGTCAGTAGTTGAAGGCTCCCCCCTTGGTGGCCCGTTCAGCCCTTATTCTTGCCAAGGAGGGGACTAACCGGGGTGGCGGTGCCAGCGCTTCTTGTCACTTGTCACCTGGCCCTCAAGATTTTTTCCGAGAGGGTTTCATCCAATTCACCAACCCTGCATTGTGGCCCGTGCTGGCTCCTGGTGGGGTGTTTTTTATCAACCTGGGAAGGTGGGAAGGCTCCATCTCTGGTTACTAATCCCCTGAGCCACCCAGCCCTGTGCGGGCGGTAATTCTCCGGCTGCTCAGCCCCCTGGAAAAAGGGAAAAGGGTGTGATTTTTTTTTTTACAGGCTGGGCTGCGACGTTTGGGGAAGGAGCCTGGTGGTCTCTGGCCATGGAGAGGTGGGGGGGGAGCCTCAGGGCAACCGGTTTGCCCCTCCACGTTCTCAGCCACCGCAGATGAGGGACAACAAAGGGGGTGTTGTGCGAGGAGAATGAGTTGCGAAGTTGTACAACTTTCCATGCCAGCCCTCCGCAGTCTCATGACCCTGCAGCCGTTCCCACACTGTCCGGCTGATTGTCCTGGCCCCCCCCTGACCGGGGATGGGGACAGAGGGGGGGGTGACCTCTCCTGCACCACCCGACTCGCTCCCCCAGGCCCCCTCGGTCCCCAGAGCCGGGCACCACCACCGACAAAGCCCGGTTGTGTGGGTGCCGAAGCTCAGCTGCCCACAAGAAGCTTCAAAATGCTACACACAGCTTAAGTTCTGTTTAGATGGGGGGGGGGGCAGCTTTGTAAAGCATCTGATCTAGAGGGGAAAGGGGGGGGCGGAAGGTTTTAGTGTCGTTTTCCAGGCCAGGAGGTGTTGGGGGGGGGGCAGAGTATCAGCCCCCCTTTTCTGGGGAGTGATGTGCCGTGATGGCTCAGACCGGGGGGGGATTTGGGGAGCTCTGGGGGTGCCCTGGTGGCAATGGGGCAAGCGATTGCTGAGCCTCCCCTGCTGTCACCCAGCCACTTGGGGGGCTAGGGGGGGTCCAAGGGACCCCCTGTGGATGCAGGGATGCAGTGACCTTGCCCAAGGTCATACCTGGAGCCGGTGCTGGAATTCAGAGTGGTGCTTTCCAGGTCCCCAGGCTGCACTCAGCCACTCAGCCACCTTTTCCTCCCCAGCCAGGACCTCTTATTTAAAAAAAAAAAAAAGTGAAATAGTGGCTTTGAGTTTAAATCCTGCTGCTGCGGGAGCCCAGGAGGTGGCTCTGGAGTTGGTGTCCTTCTTCCACGTGTCCCAAGAAGACACCTTGATTCGGTGCTTGGTGTTGGTGGCAGGTCTTGCACCGGGTGCCCTGTGCATCCAGCCCCACTCCTCTGGTTCTTCCACTCCCCCCAGCCCCCCCATCACGTCTGCGTGATGAACCTAATGCTGCTTTATACATTATTGTGGTTTAATATTGAGGGGGTTGCTTCAAATAGGCGTTTTGTGGACTCGGAGCTGCCGTCTCCTGCATTTTCTTTATATAAAACAAGAAGGTGGAGAAATTAGAAATTCTTTAATTCCTTTTTTTGTTTGTTTTTTTTTTTCTCTTGGATTAATGAAATGTTTTAAAAATAAGAAAATAGGAAGAACTGCTGAAAAATCTGCCCAGAATTGGGGTGTGTTTGTGGGGGGGACGTGTGTGTTGGGGAGCGAGCGTTGTTTTGCAGCCCAGTTGCTGCCTCCCCGGGCTTTAACGTGGGGCTGGGAGTTGCTTCCTCCATAATTAGTTCTCTTCTGACCCTGGCCCTGACTCATCCGCCCCCCTCTCTCCCCCCTTCTTCCCCCCCTCCCATATTGTGTGGGGCAGGGCTGCTTCTTGCCGTGCCTCAGTTTCCCCAGCTGGAAACTGGGGACTTTGATACTTAATGCTTGTGCCAAAGGTATTTTATGAACCAAATTATTCACGTGAGGATATATTGCAGGTCGCATTAGCCCCGGTGTTTGGGGCGGGGGTGGGGGTGAATATATTGATTTATGGGGGGGGAAAGCATCTCTGGTGTAAGGAACAGGGGGTTGCTGCTTGAGACGGAGAGGAGGGGAATGTTATTGCCAATTTAGGCATCAGAAGGCTGGTTCTGGGGGGAGCTGAGGGGCTTGTTCAGGGCAAGTTTTGCTCTTGCTGGTGTTTGCTCCCCCTCTCCCAGCAAAGGGGGATCCCGTCCCATCAGAGCCACTCGCTTCGCTCTGGCTTTTTCAGCCTTGGAAGGGAGGATGTGTTTAAAGTCAAGTGGATCCTTTTCTGCCGTGCTGGCACATCAGGAGCAACTGACTGATGTATTTCTCTTTTCCCAAACCAACCCTCAGCTTTGGAAAAAGCTTCTGCCGAAGCCTTTCTGGGATGCTGGGAGGGGGGGCTTGCGCCAGCTCTGCTGCTGCTGGTGACACCAGTCTCCTCTCTGGCCACCTCAGAGGCCCCTGTCCCAAGCAGGTACCTTGGATTTGAATGTTTAAGCTTGGCTCTTAACCCCTCACAGCAGACTGGGGTGGTTGGTGCTTCCCACTTCCCACATACTGGTGCCATCAAGTGCTGAGCTTGTCGCTGGGACCTTCCCAAAATTTGCTGCCATCCCACTGCCCGCATCCCTTGGAGCAGCAGAGCCTGGGACCCCAGGGATGAGCCATGGGAATGCTTTTCCCAGTGTATCCAGAGTTTGGCTGGGCACAGCGAGGCTGAATGAGCAGGGGACCTTTCCAATAGAAGTGGTGGGACTGGGAAATACTCCCCGAGGTGGACTTGGGGTCCACTGGTGAGGCTCATGCCATTGTAGCCCAACGCCAGGCACTGCTACCAGCTGGGTCCAGATGCCCTCTGGCTCTGTTAACCCTGGTCCTTGCTGAGGCTTGCTGGCCCTGGCCCGCATCCGTGCTAATTCAGCTCTTCTTCCAGACTGGGAGAGCACCTGGGCTGTGTTTCTCCTCCTCCTCCTCCTCCTCCCCAGAGTGAGGGTAAGAACGGGTCCCTCCTTGCCTGCTCATGGAGTCTCAGGCTCTGGGCAAGATGGTGGACTCAAGGGGGACGTGGGAAGGTACAGAGGGCACAGTAGCCAATGGCTAGTGCTTGCTCCAGAGCACGCTGGCATCGACGGGCAGGTGCCTGCTCTGCTTTGGGAGTGTGCCCATGCGATGTGATGCCTCCGAGTGGCCGAGGTCCCCGTGACTCATTGCTCTTTTCCTCCTCCTCCTCTCGTAGCCTTTTGCATCGAAGATGGCGGGTGGCGTGGACGGCCCCATAGGGATCCCGTTCCCCGATCACAGCAGCGACATCCTCAGCAGCCTGAATGAGCAGAGAAACAACGGGCTGTTGTGCGACGTGGTCATCTTGGTGGAAGGCCAGGAGTTCCCCACCCACCGCTCCGTCCTGGCGGCCTGCAGCCAGTACTTCAAGAAGCTCTTCACCTCAGGGTTAGTGGTGGACCAGCAAAACGTGTATGAGATAGACTTTGTGAGCGCGGATGCCTTGTCGGCTCTGCTGGAGTTCGCTTACACCGCGACCCTTACTGTCAGCACTTCAAATGTCAACGACATCCTCAATGCCGCCACACTGCTGGAGATCCCGGCGGTAAGGGATGTTTGCACGGATCTCCTGGACAGGAAGATTCTGGCCAAAAATGACCAGATGGATACAGTAGATCAAATTGATCAAAGGAACCATCTCAGAGCAAAAGAGTACCTGGAGTTCTTCCAGAGCAACCCCGTCAATGGCCACCAAGGCAGCTTTCCGTGGACCAACCCAGAGTTGAGAGACCTTCAGAGACTGAACTTCCGAGGCCAAGAGGAGGAGGAGGAGCCGGACTGCAATGGCCTAGACTTCTACTCGCAAGCCCCCCTAAACGAAAGACCAAAGGCGAATGACTGTGATCCTGAGAGCAGCAACCCAGCCATGTGGCTGGACAGAGAGGAGGAGGAGGTGGCTCCTGGCTCCATGTTTTCACCTTCTCAGAACGGACATTACAGCGGCCGTGGCCTGCCCACACCGGGAGAAGAGGAGGGGACCCCAGGGGGGCCTCTGGACCAGCAGGAAGCCGGTGACTCCCCTGGTTTCGTTGCTGCTGGAGCGGAGACGGAGGATGACACCAGGGAGGTGGATGGTTTGGCCGCCAGCGCCCTGCTGCAGCAGATGATGAATTCCGTGGGGAGACAGCAGCTCGGGGAAGACGACCGAAAGGACGACGACGGGGTGATGGATTATTACTTGAAATATTTCAGCAGTTCAAACGAGGGCGACGTCTACCCTTCCTGGTCGCAGAAAGTGGAGAAGAAGATCAGGGCAAAAGCATTCCAAAAGTGCCCCATCTGTGAGAAGGTGATCCAGGGGGCTGGCAAGCTGCCGCGCCACATCCGCACCCACACCGGGGAGAAGCCCTACGAATGCAACATCTGCAAAGTCCGATTCACCAGGTGAGGAGCGGGTGGACGTTGGAGGAGAGGGGGGGCTGTCACGCAAAACCAGCTCTTGGCTTTCCCCGGGGGTTGGTCTTATGGAATTTTATCTTCCCTGCTTGACTGATTTCCATCTCAACAGGCGAGTTGGGTACGAAAGCCAGAGTTTTTCAGAGAGCCGAGCGATTTGGGGGGGGTCTGGTTCTTGAGATATCTCACGGGGCCTGTCTTGATATCCAGTGCCACACCGTCCCGGCGTCCTGAATTGCTGAGCTCTGCTGGAAACCTGGCCAGACCCGGCCTTCTGCGGAGGCTAAATAACGTGGTTGACGAAGCAGAGCTACAGCCCCTTGGTATTTCCATTGTGGCTGAGGAGCTCGGGCTCGAGGCGAGAGTTGGAGAAGTCCTTTAGAAACGGCTCCGTGGGGTGACCCGAGGCTCTAGTGGCTGGGAGTTGGGTTGGGAAAAGGCTGGATGTGGCACTACTCATGTCCACTCTGGGTGAACCTTGATGGGCTGAGAGCTGGCTGCCCTGGAGGCCACACAGAGCCCGGTGCTTTGGTGCAGCTCCCCGGGGGCGTTCGCCTCGGTGCTGTTTCTAATCAGGGTTCCTCTGCTCCTTCCCTCCGCCACGGGAACGCTGAAGAAAGGGGATATTGTTTGGATTCCTCCGGTTCACTCCAGTCCACACGTTGCAGCGCCGCCCCCTCTCTCTGGTCTCTGTGGCTCTGATGGCTGGGGTGGGGGTCCCAGCCCGGTCCCCCCCCCCCTCCTCCCTCCCTCCTCAGTGTCCCTGCCGAGAGACTGCGTGGGCTGCCTGGCAGAGGAACCAGCTGCCTGCTGAAATATTCCCAGTTTCACCAGTGCTGCTTGCTTTGCTTCCCAAAAGCCTTTTCCTTGACTGGGTAGGGGGGGGGCATCCATGGGGCTGCTCCTCACAGTGTCCACCCCCCTGACCTGGGACAGGTGACCCTGAGGTGAAGCAGGACGTGGGGCAGGAGGGCCGTATCCTGCCCCACGGCCCCGCCGGCCCCCCTCGCCGCACCCAGCCCCACGTTGGAGAGCTGAGGAATGCAGATAATGGCGGGGGCAAGATGCCAGCCCTCCCGCCGCTCCCCCAGCAGCCAGGCCCTGCAACGTGGCACCTCCCTGCCCCAGTGCCGGGGGGGGGGACACCCTGGGTGCTACGCACACACCCCTGTGCAGAATCCGCCCCACCTGAGCGGTCCAAGGTCCTCGCCTGGCATCTGGGGGCGGAAACGCCATGGGGTGCCCCACAGCCATCTGCGCTGGGGGCGGTGGCGAGGAGGAGGGGATGAAGGAAAGCACAGGGGGGCTTTTTTGGGGAGGAGGAGGAGGTCGGTGGGGGGGTTGCCACCTCATCTCTTTTCCATTTCTTCCTCCTCTTGTGGTTTTCGGATGGGGAACCTACTCCCTGCGGACTCCCAGAAGGGCTTGGCACCGCAGAGGGCAGGATGGAAACTCTCTCTCCCAGCCCCTATAAACAAGGATGTTTCATAATATGCCAGGGCCGTGCTGTTTTCCAGCCAAAATACATCCTGGAGAAGCCCAGGCGGGGTCAGGGACCTGCCATCCGCCTCGATGCCCCCCCAGGGCCATGCCCCATCTCGTGCCTCCCCCCCCCAGCATCCTGCTGCTGCTCCTGCTCTGACCCACAGCGCTCCTGAAAAATCTCCTTGGAGGCTGGGGCCCAAAATCCCAGCTGGTTTCCAGCTCCCTCTGCCCATGGCTGATTCCCCAGGGGTGTGCCCCCCCTTTGCCCCACAGCGTGACCCACAGAGCCTCACAAACTCAAGCTGCTGGCCCAGGTCTGGGTTGGTTTTGGTGTCAATGAGTAGTTTCATTCTGCTCCCCCAGCACCTGGGCTGCGCTCGAAGCTTTGTCTCAGAGGCTCCCAATGTAAAAATGGGCACAAATGTGACCAAACACTCCAGCATCCTTATTTCCCTCCCCCCAAATTGTATTATTCTTTCACATTCCTTCACTGTACACTCCTTCCCCGTCCTCATCCCAGCAGGTGACAGTGCAAATCTCTTCCCAGTGCCACTAAAAATATCGCGATAGGCTGGGGGGAGCCAGTTTGGGGAGAAGCAATCCCTGTGCTTGGAGGAGCTTTAGGGGTGAGGATGATGAGCCGGGGGGTTGAAAGGGGGGGCTTGCAGGGGGTGTTTTCCTTCCACCCCCTCGCCGGGCGGGGACCAGAGCCAGTTGGTTTACACTGATTTTTGCTCACTGGTGCTTCCTGGTTCCTCTGCATTCCCGGGGGGGAGGAGCTGCGACGGCGCTCTAATAATCTCCTGGTAGAAAGGCAGAGTGGTTTTCTAAAATTTATAAGTATTTATAACATTTTATAAACGATAAAACATTTATTTTTAAAAAGCTGGTTTGACGTGTTGCTCCGTACCACGGTGTTTTAAGCAAGGCCCACCTTCCCGGCCCCTTTGGGAGCTGCATTAAAACGAGAGGTAGAGATGTCCTTGGTGTTTTGAACCCTTAAGGTTGGGGATTTTTTTGGGGGGGCCCTCATCCTGGCAGAATTTCCCCGCTGGGTGAGGGCAGCGATGGCCGTGCTGCGACGGGCGTGCGGGGCTGGGGGGGCTGCCTTTTCCCTATGGAATAGCAGAAAGGGATGGGGCCGGATCTCCTTGGGGGGAGGTGAGAGGTCCCCTTGCCCCCCCGCCCGGGCAGGGATGCTGCTCCTCGCTGCCCGCCACGCGCTTCGTGCCTGATTTTTGTCCTCCGGGAAGAGGCGAGCGGCTGCGGCTCACATGGCCCTCTTGGCCCCCGGCCCGGCTGCTGCAATGCCCTCCCCTGGCTCCGGCACGCTGCGGCGGCACAGGCCCTGCCTGGAGCCAGCCAGCCCCCAACCGGGCAGGGATTGACCTTGGACCAGGGGATGCTGGGTCCTGGGCTGATGCTTAGACTGATGCTCAGACCCATACTGGGCGATACTTGGTCCCATACTGATGCTCAGACCCATACTGGGCGATATTCCTCAGTCCCATTCTGCTGCTCGGACCCATACTGGGGGATGCTGGATCCTGGGCTGATGCTTAGATCCATACTGGGCGATATTCCTCAGTCCCATTCTGCTGCTCGGACCCATACTGGGGGATGCTGGATCCTGGGCTGATGCCTAGACACATACTGGGCGATACTCAGTCTCATATTGGGCGATACTCAGTCCCACAGTGATGCTTAGACCCATACTGGGCAATACTTGGGATGCTGGATCCTGGGCTGATGCCTAGACACATACTGGGCGATACTCAGTCTCATATTGGGCGATACTCAGTCCCACAGTGATGCTTAGACCCATACTGGGCGATACTTGGTCCCATACTGGGCGAATCTTGGTCCCATCCTGATGCTTAGACCCATACTGGGCGATATTCCTCAGTCCCATTCTGTTGCTCGGATCCATATTGGGTGATGCTGGCTCCTGTACTGATGCCTAGACCCATACTGGGCGATACTCAGTCCCATACTGGTGCTTAGACCCATACTGGGCGATATTCCTCAGTCCCATTCTGCTGCTCGGACCCATACTGGGGGATGCTGGATCCTGGGCTGATGCCTAGACACATACTGGGCGATACTCAGTCTCATATTGGGCGATACTCAGTCCCACAGTGATGCTTAGACCCATACTGGGCAATACTTGGTCCCATATTGGGTGATACTCAGTCCCATACTGACGCTTAGACCCATACTGGGCGAATCTTGGTCCCATACTGATGCCTAGACCCATACTGGGCAATACTTGGTCCCATATTGGGCAATACTCAGTCCCACACTGATGCTTAGACCCATACTGGGCAATACTTGGTCCCATATTGGGTGATACTCAGTCCCATACTGAGGCTTAGACCCATACTGGGCGATATTCCTCAGTCCCATTCTGCTGCTTGGACCCATACTGGGTGATGCTGGCTCCTGTACTGATGCCTAGACCCATACTGGGCGATACTTGGTCCCATATTGGGTGATACTCGGTCCCATACTGATGCTTAGACCCATACTGGGCAATACTTGGTCCCATATTGGGTGATACTCAGTCCCACACTGATACTTAGACCCATACTGGGCAATATTCCTCAGTCCCATTCCGCTGCTCGGACCCATACTGGGTGATGCTGGGTCCTGTACTGATGCCTAGACCCATACTGGGCGATACTTGGTCCCATATTGGGCAATACCCAGTCCCATACTGATGCCTAGACCCATACTGGGCGATACTTGGTCCCATATTGGGCAATACCCAGTCCCATACTGATGCCTAGACCCATACTGGGCGATACTTGGTCCCATATTGGGCAATACCCAGTCCCATACTGATGCCTAGACCCATACTGGGCGATACTTGGTCCCATATTGGGCAATACCCAGTCCCATACTGATGCCTAGACCCATACTGGGCGATACTTGGTCCCATATTGGGCAATACCCAGTCCCATACTGATGCCTAGACCCATACTGGGCGATACTTGGTCCCATATTGGGCAATACCCAGTCCCATACTGATGCCTAGACCCATACTGGGCGATACTTGGTCCCATATTGGGCAATACCCAGTCCCATACTGATGCCTAGACCCATACTGGGCGATACTTGGTCCCATATTGGGCAATACCCAGTCCCATACTGATGCCTAGACCCATACTGGGCGATACTTGGTCCCATATTGGGCAATACCCAGTCCCATACTGATGCCTAGACCCATACTGGGCGATACTTGGTCCCATATTGGGCGATACTCAGTCCCATCCTGATGCTTAGGCCCATACTGGGCCATGCTGGGTCCCATACTGATGCTTAGACCCATACTGGGTCCTGTGCTGATGCTCAGCCCCATACACTGGGTGAAGCTCAGCCCTGTTCCAGGTGATGCTCAGCCCTGTACTGTGATGCTTGGCCCCGTGCTGGGGGCTGCTTAGCCCTATACCCGTGCTTGGCCCCGTACCGGGTGATGCTCAGCCCCGTACCCATGCTTAGACCTCTGCCAGGCAGTGTTTGACCCTGTACTGGGCTGTGTTCCACTCTGTACTGGGAGGCACTCAACCCTGTACTGATGCTTAGCTCTGTATCGGGTGATGCTCAACCCCATAGTGATGCTGGGCCCCGTGCGAGGCCATGCTGGGCCCCGTACTGGGTGGTGCTCAGACCCATAGCGGGTGATGCTCACCCCATACCAGTGCTCAACCCTGTACTGGGTGCTCAGCCCTGTACTGGGTGATGCTCAGACCCATACTGGGTGATGCTCGTCTCATACCAATGTTCAGCCTTGTACTGGGTGATCCTCAGCCCTGTACTGGGTGATCCTCAGATTGATACTGGGTGATGCTCAGCCCTGTACTGGGTGATGCTCAGACCCATACTGGGTGATGCTCAGCCCTGTACTGGGTGATGCTCAGACCCATACTGGGTGATGCTCAGCCCTGTACTGGGTGATGCTCAGACCCATACTGGGTGATGCTCACACCATACTGGGTGATGCTCAGACCGATACTGGGTGATGGTCAGACCCATACTGGGTGATGTTCGTCTCGTACCAATGCTCAGCCCTGTACTGGGTGATCCTCAGACCGATACTGGGTGATGCTCAGACCCATATTGGGTGATGCTCACAACGTACTGGGTGATGCTCAGACTCATACTGGGTGATGCTCACATCCATACTGGGTGATGCTCAGCCCTGTACTGGGTGATGCTCACATCCATACTGGGTGATGCTCAGCCCTGTACTGGGTGATGCTCAGCCTGATACTGGGTGATGCTCAGACCCATACTGGGTGATGCTCAGCCCTGTACTGGGTGATAGTGATGCTGGGCCCCGTGCGAGGCCATGCTGGGCCCCGTACTGGGTGGTGCTCAGACCCATAGCGGGTGATGCTCACCCCATACCAGTGCTCAACCCTGTACTGGGTGCTCAGCCCTGTACTGGGTGATGCTCAGACCCATACTGGGTGATGCTCGTCTCATACCAATGTTCAGCCTTGTACTGGGTGATCCTCAGCCCTGTACTGGGTGATCCTCAGATTGATACTGGGTGATGCTCAGCCCTGTACTGGGTGATGCTCAGACCCATATTGGGTGATGCTCACAACGTACTGGGTGATGCTCAGACTCATACTGGGTGATGCTCACATCCATACTGGGTGATGCTCAGCCCTGTACTGGGTGATGCTCAGACCCATACTGGGTGATGCTCACAACATACTGGGTGATGCTCAGACCGATACTGGGTGATGGTCAGACCCATACTGGGTGATGTTCGTCTCGTACCAATGCTCAGCCCTGTACTGGGTGATCCTCAGACCGATACTGGGTGATGCTCAGACCCATATTGGGTGATGCTCACAACGTACTGGGTGATGCTCAGACTCATACTGGGTGATGCTCACATCCATACTGGGTGATGCTCAGCCCTGTACTGGGTGATGCTCACATCCATACTGGGTGATGCTCAGCCCTGTACTGGGTGATGCTCAGCCTGATACTGGGTGATGCTCAGACCCATACTGGGTGATGCTCAGCCCTGTACTGGGTGATGCTCACATCCATACTGGGTGATGCTCAGCCCTGTACTGGGTGATGCTCAGACCCATACTGGGTGATGCTCAGCCCTGCACTGGGTGATCCTCAGACCCATACTGGGTGATCCTCAGCCCTGTACTGGGTGATGCTTGTCTCGTACCAGTGCTCAGCCCTGTACTGGGTGATGCTCAGACCGATGCTGGGTGATGCTCACAAAGTACCAGGTGATGCTCAGCCCTGTACTGGGTGATGCTCAGGCCCATACTGGGTGATGCTCATCTCGTACCAGGGCTTGGCCCTGTACTGGGTGATGCTCAGACCCATACTGGGTGATGCTTGTCTTGTATCAATGCTCAGCTCTGCACTGGGTGATGCTCAGACCCATACTGGGTGATGCTTGTCTTGTATCAATGCTCAGCTCTGTACTGGGTGATGCTCAGACCCATACTGGGTGATCCTCAGCCCTGTACTGGGTGATGCTCAGCCCCATACTGGGTGATGCTCAAACCCATATTGGGTGATGCTCACAACGTACTGGGTGATACTCGGGCTCATACTGGGTGATGCTCAGACCCATACTGGGTGATGCTCACAATGTACCGGGTGATGCTCAGGCTCATACTGGGTGATGCTCAGCCCTGTGTCAGGTGATGCTCAGACCCATACTGGGTGATGCTTGTCTTGTACCAGTGCTCAGCTCTGTACTGGGTGATGCTCAAACCCATATTGGGTGATGCTCACAACGTACCGGGTGATGCTCAGCCCCATATCGGGTGATGCTCAGGCCCATACTGGGTGATGCTCATCTCGTACCAGTGCTCGGCCCTGTACTGGGTGATGCTCAGACCCATACTGGGTGATGCTCATCTCGTACCAGTGCTCGGCCCTGTACTGGGTGATGCTCAGGCCCATACTGGGTGATGCTCAGCCCCATACCAGGTGATGCTCACAATGTACCAGCTGACGCTCAGCCCCACACCAGGTGCCACTCGGCCTCGTACCGGGTGCCGCTCACCCAGTAGCGGGCAGAAGGGTGGAAGGCAGGACCCCCCCCTCCCCGAGGCTGACCTGCTCCCCC